AGTGATTGCACCATTTTACACTTTCACCAACAGTGAATAAGGGTTCCAGTTTCCCCACAATCTCGCCAAGAGCACATCTTTTGAGAGATATTTCACTATGATAAGATGATGGACAAGAACAATACTCAGAGACAGACCCAACATGGTGCCACAGAGATGTTCATCCAGGTGTCTCCTTACCTGGATTTGTGTATTCCAGCTCTTCTTTAAACCACCGATGTCCCAGGCTTGCATTAACAATAAAGAGGGCTCCTCTGTGCAATGGGTAGTCCTTGAACTCACAACTGCATTGATTCTCCAAGGGCTGAAAAGAGACAGCCGGCCAGTGGGTGAGGAATCCGATTCCACTGGGCCCACCTGGCTGGGTTTACACTGACCCTTAATCAAGCAGAGACTTGGCCTTGGCTTCTGTCTGGATACACACACACACACACACACACACTCTCTCTGTATTTGTGGAGCCTGCAGACAGCCCAGCAAATGACTGCAGGTTCGGATTGACCCTCGTGTCCCACGGAATAAAGTCCTGGCTGACTTTAAAAAAAAAAGAAATTTTGATCCTGAAAAGCCCATGGGGTGCAGGGCTGCTCTGTCGCCTCACGGGGGCACCAGATGACACACCACCCACACGTCCTGCTTAAGCAACGGGGCTGATGACTCAAAGGTCGTTGGTTCTAATTCATCTGTCGTTGCAAGTGAGAGCAATGGACCATCCTCTCTGGTAATGATTTATCTCCTCAGGAATCAGATGACAGTTTTTTCTCACCAGAATCATCAGCAGATTCCGTGCAATCTTCCTCTTCCCTCCACCATCTCTCCTTCTATCTCTGTCTCTGTCGCTCTGTCTCCATGTCTCCCCTTCCCATCTCTTTCTTGCCTTCTCTCTCTCACCCCGTCCCTGTCTCCTTGCCTCTCTCTGTCTCTACTGTCTCTCTGTCTCTCCCTGTCTCTGTCTCACTGTGTCTATCTCTCCCTGGGTGCCCCTCTCATCTGTCTCTCTAACCTTCTCTGTGTCTGTGTTTCTGTCTCTGTCCCATCACTCTGTCATTGTCTTTGTATCTGTGTTTTGATCTCTCTGACTCTCTCTCTCTCCCTTTCCCTCTCCCTCTCCCCTCCCTGTCTGTCCTCTGTCTCCATCTCTCTTTGTCCCTCTCATCTGTCTTTCTAACATTCTCTGTGTCTCTGTTTTTGTCTCTCTCATGGCCTCTCTCCCATCTGTTTCTCTCTTTGTATCTACCTTCTGATCTCTCGACTCTCTCTCTGTCCTTTTCCCTTCCCTCTCTGTCTTCTGTCTCTCTCTGTGCCACTCTCATCTGTTTCTCTAACCTTCTCTGTGTCTCTGTCTCTCTTGTGGCCTCTATCTCATCTCTTTGTCTCTTTGTCTCTGTATTTTGATCTCTGACTCTCTCTTTCTCTCTCTTCCTGTCTCCCTCTCCTCTCACTCTCTGTCCTCTGTCTCCATCTTTCTACCCATGTCCCTTTCATCTGTCTTTCTAACCTTCTCTGTGTCTGTGTCTCTTGTCTCTCTCATGGCCTCTATGTCATCTCATCTCTTTGTCTCTTTGTATTCTGTATCTGTGTTTTGATCTCTCTGACTCTCTCTCTGTCCCTCTCCCCTCCCTCTCTGTCCTCTGTCTCCATCTCTCTTTGTCCCTCTCATCTGTCTTTCTAACATTCTCTGTCTTTGTCTCTCTCTCATCTCTTTATATCTGTATCTGCATTTTGATCTCTCTCCCCCCCCATCCTCTGTCTCCATCCCTCTACCTATGTCCCTTTCATGTGTCTTTCTTACCTTCTCTGTGTCTCTGTCTCTCTCGTGGTCTCTCTCTCTCTCTCTCATCTCTCTCTCTGTCCTCTGTCTCCATCTCTTTGTGTCCCTCTCATCTGTCTTTCTAATATTCTTTCTCTCCCTCTCCCTCTCTTCCTCTCTCTCTTTGTATCTGTATCTGCATTTTGATCTCCCTCTCCTCTCCTCTCCTCTCCTCTCCTCTCCTCTCCTCCTCTCCTCTGTCTTCTCCCTCTCCTCTCCTCTCT